CTAAATTGGTGAGATGGGAAATAAAAGCGGCTTTTCTATCTCTTTCCTTACTACTTCATCAAACTGAGTTTGTGTCAGCGCATGCCAAATAGCTGAATTCGAAGCATGGAGATTTGTTCAGATGTAGGGTAAGTGAACATAGATACTGAACTAAGTTTATCTTTAAAAGATCAAAGGCTTGCTGACAACTATCCGTCCACTTGAACCTGGCATTCTTTCTTGTCAACTGGAAAAATAACAAACGAACACATCCCAATAAACCCACAAATCTGTTTAATTGTCTTGGGAATAGGTAATGATTATATTGCTGTCATTTTTCCTCAGGCTTAATGTCATCTCTATTTACGGTAAACCTAAGGAATTTTTCTAAATCTTAAAAAATTCAAATTTCGCTAGCTTTAACTTATCTGGTTAAATAAATTTTGTACTTGCCTTAAATTATCTTCATTTGCTGCAAAGAAAATTAAAATATTGTCTATATATGCAACTGCATATTTTTCCATCCCATCTAAATGAACAGAAATTAATTTCTGGAAAATAGTAGGCCTGTTTGTTAATCCAAAAGGCATGCCATTAAAATGAAAAAGTTCCCTATGGGAACAAAAAGCTGTTTTGTCTTTATTTCCACTTGCCAATAATCCATTTTCAGATTTAATTTAGAAAAATACTTAGCAGGACCTAAATTTGCTAATATATCATCAATAATCAGTAGTGGATATGCATTACTCCGAGTTATCTCACTTAAAGAGATATAATCTCCAGCTATTCAAGTGTAATGTCAATCGACATCTCCAGTTGCCTTGATATATCCACTACCCTCATCCTTTCTTCTATCACTCCTATCTGATCTTGCTCTAAATTTTCTGTAACCCCTTGTGTTCTAGTGGCTTCCCGCCTTGCTTGGGGTGAAATGTTTAAAAAAAAAAAAAAATAGTGCAAAGACGTTTTGTTCCATCCTATTTCTGGGCTAAAACTATGGGAAAAGACCAAGGCCTTCATGAGTTTTTTTCTATCACCTTAGCATCCAACATCTCATCCATGATTTTATCTACTTGATCTTGGAGCTTCAAGGACGTAAGATATGTGTTTTTAATTGGATATTGGTTACCAGTATTAATCCTCATTTTCACTGTATCAGCTCTGATGGGATCTCTATCTGTAGCTGCAAATAAATCCTTTTTTTTTTTTTCTAATAACTTTTGGATGGGAGCCTTAAATTCATTGGGTAGTACAACATTACTGATATCTGTATTATTACTACCATTAAAACCACCACTGGACACAGTATTAACGTTGACTGCTGGAGAAACTCTACCTACTACACATCCATGTCGAAGCCTAAACGTTTGATTTGTATTGTTAATAGCAACTATCAGTATCTTCCTATGGTTATTCGTCCTTACTAACACATTTGTCGTTGAAATGCCTGGGAAATTACTTAGATATCTCGAACCTATTTATTCTATATAATGAGGTTGTTCTTTCTTTAATTTATTCCTAATTCTAACTAAACATAAAGTGGCCATCTGAGGCTTTAATACAATATCAAAGGTCATCTGGTTATATTCACTATAAGGGAATCCACTTCTAAAGACACGTATGCATCATTGATACGCAAAGCTCCTAAATCGTAGTAAATACTGCGACCAATCATGACCTAGAATACTATTTCTGTTTAAATTTCAAATCATATAGAATCTATATTTGACTGCTAGTTGACCAACTCAGAAATTTATAGTCATATACTAGTCAACCTTCAAGTATGTCCCATTAGCTGTTTGTAAGTTTATTTGTCTATCTTCAAAAGCAGGTTTATTCTTTATAGAATTAAACACCCTCCTGTCCATAATTGAAGTCTCTGCTCCTGTATCTATCAGTGCTCTATAGCTTAAGCCATCAATGCCAATGGTAACTGTACTAAGATTTCCCATAGCATTTATTTTTAGCGTTAGTAATCCTCCAGTCCATTCTGTGATCTTCTTACAGACAGATCATATATAATTTCCCTGAACCCTGCGCTGTCGCTACAAGTGCCCTTTACAACAACATCTCCAACAAATGATCAGTGTACGTTCCGAAGGTGGTCAGTCCAAAACTATTCAACGAGGCAGATCATTTTTCCTATCACTATCTCTCTGCAGTGGTGCTTGACTGGTCTAATAATCCCTTTTAATCTGCCTCTTACCTTGATCTCTATTTCTATTGATCACCTAGATATTAATCATCTGCCTATAGTGATCAACTTCCACCATCTCATTGGAGCTTTCATTCCTACCTGGGATAGAATCAAGGTTTCCAACATTGCTGTAGCTTCTTTTAGAGTTGCTGGCTCCTGCCTAATTATTTCAGTTTCAAGACTCCTGCTTGACTCATATCGTTACATATATCATTAATTTACTATCATCTCCCAAAAATTCTTACAATCTAAAAATATTTTCTGGCTTTAAATAACCTGCAAAGAGGTTAAGCTCTAAAAAAAAAAAAAATTGATCCAATGGAGGAGAAACACAATAATTTTTGGAAGATTTTGTTAGATATTATTTCTTATCAGACACACAGTTGGACTTAACACCTCAATTATCTTAACTGGCTGTTAAGGTACTTGACAAGTAGATGCCGAGGATGACAAATTAATACAGCCACCATCAATCTATTGTTCCTTGCTTTCCTACTGAAGAATCAATCAACACTGTCTTTGCCATTACGTCTGGTATAACATTGGATGCTTGCCTACAAGGAATATACCATCATGCAAAATACTCATATATTGCCACAGCTTCCAGTGTCTGGAATGTATATCCGTAACTATTTGCCATCACTGTAGTCATGATACTCACTTCAGCGACTGTTGAATTTGTTGCTAGTCACTACCATAAGAACATTTTTAATTTCCCATCTGCAGTTCCTACTGAAAAATAAATACACCAGTTACTAATTCAAACAAGTGCCATATTTTTTTATAGTTCATGTTCATTCCACCCCTTGTTACTTCGTGCTCAAATAAGACTTGCTTGCTTTATCTTGATGTGATCAAGGAAGAGATGCAGCTCATGTTCAACAGTCCCACCTGCCTGCCTTTTCATACCCTGCCCATCTTTTGGTATGTTAAACTAAACCCAAAAACAAATTAAAAAAAAAAAGACGGATCCAAAGATTAACATATATAACTGCCCTTGATTTCCATCAACAGTCATCATATAAAAACATCGACCTCACCTGGTTGATTCTGTTAGTAATCCTGCTGGTCTCAAAACTTAAGCAATGAATAAAATGATGAATGGCTCAGGAATTGGATCTAATCCTTGCAAGAAAGTAGCATTCACAACCAAAGAGGATTATCAGCAGCATTCTCTTCAGGATGCATTGTATCTTTCATTGCTGTAAAATGCCTCATATCTCGTCTTCTTTACTCCCTTTCACTTCCTTTCTTCTTTTATCAAGTCTCTGATTACCTTTCTCCTAATTCCAAAACAGTTTCTCCTCCAAGAGTGCTCTTAACCGAGTTTCTGTAGCAGCAGGTATGCTAATGTTCATAAAATTAGAACACTCACTTTAGGCTCTTCCATTTTGCCTAGAATGATGGAAGAAAACCTTATCTGATGGTCTCACTGAATGGCAAGTCAATGATCAAAGGAGAGCCACTCAAATTGCACCATTTGAGTTAAACTTTCTATGATCGATAATAAAGGTTAAAGGTTTAAAGATAAGACACCATCATTCTTCTGATCATAAACAATAACAAATAAAACTTAATTTATAGAAGGGCAAAAGGGGAACTTAAGTTAATTTAGCACAAGAAAACTCCACTGGTCTGTATACCAGTATGATTGACAGATTGGTAACTCTTCCCTTTTTAACTTTTTTTCATCCTTTCACCCCCAAGCAAGGTGATAAAGCCACTAAGATGCAAGGGGTTACCTAGAAAAGGAAACTGAGAAAATGCTACTGAGGATCGAGTGATTGATTTCTTTGTTTTTTATGGCTTATCAACCCTCTATGGTTTATTTAAAGCTGAAACATATTTTGGATTGTAGGAGGTTGCTTACAGTACCTGATGTTCCCAAGAAATCTCCCATGTAATACTGACCAAGCTCAGCAATGCTTAACTTCACTGATGGAGCAAGAACTAGTATTTTCTGCATTACTAAGGAGAAAAGACAATAAAAAGAACAGGACTCAAGGAGACAGAAGATGATGATTAATGTTGTGTTTACATTTTTGAAGATTATATTTGACACTAAAAGAAGAGAATTCCACGGGTGAGAAGTGTGAGAAAAGAAACTATTAGAATAGCATTTCCACGTTGGAATTTCAACAGTAAAATGATGAAACCTAGCTGCCAATCTAGTACTGTGCTTATATTTGTGAAGTTGAGGTACGAAAAAGAAAAGCTCATCAGAACAATAGTCATGAAAATATTTATAGAAAAGTCAGGGGGGGGGGGGCTGGCTGTTATGACAGAAAAAATGATTGAAGATGACATGCCAGTTTAGGATTGATAAAATTACAGATCCTCCTTTTGGATTTTATCAAGAATCTCTAGAAACATAGTTGAAGCACCAGACTCGATGTGGTAGCAATATTCAATGCAGGGACGATTGGTTGACTTATAACTGTGTAAGACAAATTCTGGTGAGAAAGATTGTCTAGTGCAACACATTTTCAAATCTCTCCTTGCAATTCCACTTCATGTCAGTGGAAAATGTTAGACCAAGAAATGACTTGATCTTCTGAAGTTTAGCATCAGCCATACAGATAGAAGTCAAAAAAGGTTCTATAAAATGATTAAAAGAGAGCAGTTTATTTAAAAAAAAATGTTAAGATTAACGAGTCATTTCTTGGGATCAACTGCCAATTTATCTTTATCGAACTGATCAGACTTACCATTAATACAAGAGCAAATAGTTGTGTCATCAGTATGAATACCGAATTGAAAACTGATAGCATCATCGGGAAGGTTGTTGATAAATCTTAGGAACAAAGTAGGTTTGAGAATAGATTGGTTCAGTCAGTGGTGGTACATGACCTTTCTTAGTTGAAGCAATCCATTAGGTTGATCCTGATTTAAAAAAAAAACTAAAAAACCTGCTAACTAGTGTGTAAAATTTTTTTTTTTAGTTGAAACTCCGGCATTTATTGTGTATTGAGGCGAATAAAGAAAACAGCAACCAGCGAGTAAATTTGAGCTCTCCCAGCTGGTATTTCAACCTTGAGTCGTTCCTTCTTGAGTTCTGTCTCAAAATCACACTAACAGACTGTTCTTGCCGCCAACCGTGAACGTCCTCTCAAGAACTGCCCCACTGGAAAAAAAAGTAGTTGCTTTTATATTTGTCCATATACCCATAATCCCTTGCGTCTTCATGTGATCCCATAGTTCATTGCGTCCATGTCCCATAATGCATTGCATCTTTATTGCATAAAAATGCAATGCAAGTCCTCCCTCATTCTTTTACGTTATCTGGCCGAGGACGGGTTACGGCAGAGCGGTAAGTGCTTTTTTCTCCCTCATTTCAACTGCAGTAGCTTTACATGCTAAGCAAATACGGGCTCTTTTTTGGCGGGGACAAGGCAAGTCGCGACCAGTTGTGCTCGTCCCAGGTTCTGTCTCATGTCCGCCACAGTCTTGATAGGTTTTCTAACACACTTCTTAGAGCAACATGAGTGTGTGTGAAGGTAGAACAATAACAAGTCTATGATGCACTTAGATGTAGAGAGGTGCCTGCATACTACACTGGAGTTATTAGTAAGGCTTAAACCTGGCCTGGGTGGTTCAGGAAACCTCTGAACCACCTTCCATGATTGAAGCTTAACCAATGCTGGGAATATGGAATTACCAGGAAGCACAGGTTAACAGCCAAAATTGATCACATCTTTGCCTTTTGTTGACATCACTCATTGCTACTTTTAATCAAATGGTCTAATGAGGTTTTGAAACCGGTCCAATGATGACAGGCGTCATGCCTGCTCGATGTCAATGGTTGTTGCTTTCATTAATTATACACATTGTCTTTGCCTCATTTGATGCCTAGAAAAGTCAGAACAAGATTTCTGTTGAGGAATCTGCAGATTGGTGATTGCAGCCATTTCAGTTGTCATGAAAGGCACAACTGATATCAAATTGTATCTCTCTGCCTATCCCTTTTGGAGAGAGAGAGAGAGACTTTTTCATTTGAGAGTCTGAGACAAGAGAGTAAGAAGACAGGAACAAAATATAATGGCACACATGTGAGCTGCTTCTGCTGGTGCCACTCTTAAAAAAAAAAAAAATATCCTCCACCAAAGCATTATGACTACTAAATCATGTGCTGTGATTAACAAGGTCACACTGGAACGATACGGGTTGTCACTGCCTTGAAGTATGTTGTGATTGTTTGTTATCAACTCTCCATCTGTCTTTTCTAAAACTACACAGAAATGAATACTAATAAAGTAAAAAAAAAAAACAATACAAAACACTTCACTAGTGATTGCTTGGCTCATCTGAGAGTAGCTAGCTGGGAAAAGTGATGCATATTTTGGAGGGCTATTGTGAATTTGAAAGTTCATTGCAACTTTGAGATACCTTGTATCAGGGTTCCATGCAGCTATGAAGCAGAAACTTGCCATTCCTAAACTTTTGCTATTTTTGCAGAGTGAAAACAACATTGCAAGAGAGATAAACGAATACTACTGCTTGTTGTTGCTTTCATCACATGTTGGCAGACGGTGAAGATGCTTCCACTGACAGAAAAATTTATTGTGATGGTTTTTCTTATTGGTTGGATATGAAGAGACATGCTACAACACAGACAGAAATCCTTGGTATTGCATGCTAATCACATCATATGCTCAGAACAGCCCGTTGCCCACTGTTCATTCTCAGAAAAATATACCAGCTTTTATTGAGCTCAAAACATTACCGGTTGACTAGCAAAACAAATCATTTGCATAACTAACAACTCTCAGATCACTGTTACGTGCAGGAGGTAGTGGACATTTTATTTCTTCATATCTAGACATTCTGGGGTTCATACCAGCTCTGTTCTGACTGGGCAGCCATTTTTTTTTTTTACAGACAGCACACTAGACATCTCTTTCACTGACAGGGGTAGGTACCGTTATCAGTGGTGGTAGGTAGTTTATTCTGCATTTCCTTTCTGTTACAGATAGATGATGTCATAACATCAGTGCAGTTTTCTATATGTTACCGCTAACAATGTTGTTTTGGGGTTTTTTTTTTACCTTTGATAACTATCATGCCAGTTTGTTTCACTTTTAAGAAAAGAACAGCAAACATACCATGAATCGTTGTTCAGTAGAAAGCACCCTGCCCTTGACTTGGATGAAATGACCTGTTAAGCAAAGGTAGAGAGATCATGAGCAATTCTGTTGACAATTGATAAGTCAAGCAGAAATAACCCAATACAAATACAACACTTGTTACTAAACAACTTCAAGATATGTAACATAGAGTTTAAAGGCAGTGAGCAATAGCCTTACAGTCAGGTTGCTTGTGAATGCTGCTGTAATCAGGTGCCAAGCTTCAACTGTGGTTAAGCACTGGAACGAGTCCAATTGTGAATATTGATAAATGATAGAACTTCAGGGCGAGTGAAACTGCTTAGGTGTTAATGAGTCGGACTACTGACTGAAATCACAGTCGGACTCGGTGTGGATTTACCAAATTTGGCCTAAACTCAATTTGTTTGTTGCGACTGGATTTCTTTCATAACCTTGCTGTCACCCTTGAGTCAGGCAGTAAGGGTTGCTAAATTGTAGATTGCCTTCTTCTCCCCCACCACCACACACGCAATTGTGCTGTTGCACTGTCGTTACTGATAGTGTCTGCTGTGACAGTAGGAAACTGGAAGAGAGCCATATGCCCTTGCATGTCTCTCACTGCTATGTTTTCATTTGCCTTCTATAATCCACAGCACATCTTCTTTTTCTGGATGCACTTTCTTTCCAGTTCATAAAAAGAAAATGTTAGCTCATTTTTAGTATGGAAGCTTGTAAGCACTATATTTGTATTGCTCTGTTTAAAGTTAGTTTTGGGTTCTGGATATTCACTATATAGCCATTAATATTTTGAGACTATGTTTGAGATTGCCAAAAAAAAAATTCCTGAAAGTGACATTTTTTCATTTGATAAGAAAGAAGTTCTTTTTATTATCATAGGATTTGCATAAGCACTTTTCTTTTTCTAGTTGCCATATCTTTTTTGTATGTGGGGGATTGTGGTTCTCTACAACTTCCTGTTTTTGTTGCTCTGAGTAAGGTTTGCCTTTTTTCTATCCCTCTTAGTCTCTGTTCTGAAAACCAATTTACACCAGCTCATTAACTTATTCATGGCTTTCATCTAACCTTCTTGTATTCAATATTGTCTCTTTCTGATTCGAAGTATAAGTGTTCTTTTTGTTTCAGTTTTCTTTAAAAGTTTGTTTTTGCTCACATGATAGTCCATAGAATTCTCAGAGAATCACATTTCTCTTTCCTTATGTTTTTTATTCTTCCTGCATTCACTACCATATGGTAGGACCGATATTATATAAGATTCCAGCACTCTTTCTTCCTAACAAAATTTTTCTGTTTCTTTATAATTTGCTTAGCTTTCAGAAGGCATCTTTTTCTATTCAAATATGCCTTCGGATTTCGGTGTTACATCTTGTGTCCTATGTTCAAACAATAGCTAGATATTTAAATTTTCTTACTTGCCTGATTTTGGCATCACCAATTCATTGTTTGCATTTTCGTCTGTTCCTCTTGTTCACATTTATACATTCCTTTCATTTTACTTTCTTTCACTACCTGCTGGTAGCAGTTCCTCCTGCAATTTCCTTTCTCTATCTGCTATCAAAACTGCATTATCTACATATCTTACATTGTTAAAACTGTGGCTGCCAATAATGAATCCTGCTAGGACAGAAGAATATTTTATCTCTGAATAAAATGTAACCATTTTATAAAAAGACCAAAATAATACCACCTTTGAATACAGCTAATTTTTTTTTTTTTTCTCTTACTTCTATAAACAGTCGCATGTGTTACTAATAATCAGCCAGTCACGTTGTTTATAGTAATTAGTCACATATGTATTACTAAATCAGTTTGTGTTAGTTGCTTACCAAGCTTGTCTCATTGATTAACTTGCTTGATCTTGATTGAGTGCTCCATACTTGTGACCTTGTGTCAGACTAAACTTATAAATAACTGGTAAGTTGCATGTTATAGTCATTAGCATGAGAGTAAAGACTATTTACTTTCATGAATTAATTCAGGAATTGTTAATTATAACAATATTAGCATAGCACCTATAAAAAAAAAATGACAGGATTATTTCTATGTGGATCAGCACATCTATCTAGAATCTAAGTGTCACTCCCTGCCCTCTGCTTTAGTGTAGGGAACATATTAGATATATATTGTGCTCTCTTTTCGTTACTTTGAAGGTCAACTAGTTCAGTTCTTAGTACCAACAGCCAGACTACTTGCACATATCATTTGATTATAGTGGTGAAGGCTTGTGCAGAACCAACCACGCCCTTTTTGGAATAGCCAAATACAGAGAACTGCTGCACAGTATGCTGCAAGTTCTCCAAACAACACTCTGCACATTTTTGAATTCAGAGTTGTCCTTCTCGTAGACTGTTCCCCTCCCATAGCTATAGGATCCAGTCTATCCAGTTATTTCCCCATAGCTTTAGAGATGAATTCATACCTTTCCCAAGGGTATTAACAATACGTTTAGATTTTCTTGAAAGCCCATAGCTTCTCATTTCCATACCTGAAAGGTAAACAAAGCAAGTCCTAAAGAGTTAATGGATTTAATTTTTATCTGACATTTTTAAACATATTTAGTGTAGTGGGTACCCATATTTAAAATAGACAACCAATTTTTTTTTTTTTTTTTTTTTTTTTAACAGTGTGCATTACACCTATCAGCCTGTGTACTCAAAAAAAAAAAAATTACTGAAGAAAATATGCTTTTCAGCAGGATTCAAATGGGCATCTATACCATTTTGATTATGAGAAGACAAGAGCATATCAAAGATGGTATGTGGTTTCAGTGAGAAAATAAAAGAAAGAACGGAAGATAGACGTGTTTAATAGCTGTTTCATTGAAATGGGAAAAGTTGTCAATTTCAAATCTTTTCATTTGTACCCACTTCTTAAAATAATAACCAGTGTTCATATCTATGATTATTTTGTTAAAGTTGTTAAGCTCAAATATTTAACGATATGATAGGGGTAATTTCTACAGATATTATATTGTAGAACATGTCATGAGCTTATTCAATCATTAACGGAAGAATTAAGATCAATCAGAAATTTAAATAAGAAAACCATGAAATTTTCATGGGTTAAAACGAGTAGTTGTTTGTTTGTAGTTGTCAAGTATAATTTTATAAATTTTTGTGCTTATCTAATAAGATTTAACAAGTATGACTGTAATCATTGGGACCATTCGTTGCCTCTTGTAAATTTTCATACTTGACATTGTGTAACGTTTCTAAAGTTGTGTGTTAAACTAGTAGAAAAAAAAAACTTATCTGAATAACTCTGTAATCTTGCACTTGTCAAAAGTTAATGATTGTCAGTTAATTTTAGATATTTATTGGTATAAATACAAGATCAAGAACAAATTAATAATAGATAAGTGGATTAATAAGATTTGTTTTAAAAATACAAAGCAAAATATTCACTTTGTAAGAATTATAAAAAAAGTATGTGTTTACGTATGTGTTAACAAATTCACAAGTCATTGTGACCGAGGGTTTAAGAATACTGCCTTTGTTCAACTACTGATCATACCAGATTATACAATCTCTCCCAGGTCAATTCAGTATAGTTGCATTATAAACCACAAGTAAGCTATGTGGGTGTTGAAGAAACACACATATGTCTGAGCAGGTTTCTGTAGCAGGAATTAGCTAACACCCTAGCAGATAGGTGTACTAAGAAATGTGCAACCATTATTATTATTATATAATGCTGAGAGTATATAATATAACTGCTAGTCAAAGATTTAAATTATAAGAAAATGTCCATTATTTTTTTTTTTTTTATTTATCATTATCTTACAATGGAC